TTCGAACTATTTTTAATTGTAGAAAAACTTGTAAGCAAAATAAAATAATTAGAAAGTTATAGAATTCTTGTCTGTAAATATCAGACATATTCATTATTAATCGTTATTTATAATATTCTATATTTTGAACTGGTTATATTATTATTACTACTCAGTAGATTATCAAATCAGTAGATTATTAATTAGTCTAATTTTGATCTATCTATTTTGGACGGAGTACTTTATTTTCCCAAAAGATAATAATTTTTATTATTTATCATATTTAATATTAAATTTATTTTAAGAGATTGAAAATACGATCAGTAGAGCTTTTACTCTACGTTGCATCTCTCAATCCATTCTTCGTATTGTGTATACAACAACACTTATAACAACAGAGTGAAGAACTGCAAGGTCCAGTATAAACAAGGGTTTATTGCGATGTATTGTCATCTTCAAGACCACGTTTGCATAGCAACAAATCTCTCTAAAGATGAAAGACGTTTTCTTCTTGTAGAAAGAACTGTCCGATTCAATTGTGGTCAGTGTCCAGTGACCAGGATATAGCATATGCTACACATTAAATTGTCATGTATTCGCAATAAAAGCCCCAACTGCAACTCTACTTCTCATGACAACGTTGTGTTTTTTTTATCAAAATGTACACTCTAATTTGAGCCATATTGATTTAATGCTTCGCCTCATTAAAGTCGCAAGTTTTTGCACCTCTACCCAGAAAAGTTTCGGTTAATACCTACGCATAGTCTACTTCCTCTCACATTCCATATAATTCTTCTTTTTTACCAACTATTGTAACCCACTACATGGGTTCTTGTCTTGTAATTCCATTCCATTGTAAAGCTAAAGGCGTTGTTGTAGCGCCTTAGTTTTGAAAATCGAGTTATACTTGATTATATTATCTGAACGTAAGACCGACCGCTACTTGAGAACCCATAGTTTAATCATAATGATTGCTTTTTATGCAGACCTTTAATGCTATTAACAATCATTACAAGTTTGCATTTAGTTAATAACGTTTTGAGATGTTTACATTTTATCTTTAAAACGATCCTTCTTAGCGACCTAACATAGCTACCATCCTGCAAAATTGGATTTTTAGTCAAATTTTTAGAATCGTCAGGTTGGTTCATGATTTTCCACTTTGCTCTTAAGCTGACCTCTACTTGGCGCATGTACAAACGTTAAACGTTGAGGTACTACAACGGGTCATTATATGAGCTTAATATGGGCTTTGGGCATAAGGCCTCCAGCTTAACCTACCTATCCTTGAAACGAAATTGTTGAGATTTATTTATAACATAGTGGAAGCATGTTCTTGCTATCTGGATCTAATATACAATTTTAACTGTCCTTTGAAAAAAATATATTGGCTTAAGTAGCAGATGTTTTATCATTAGAAGAGACTCCTTTGAATTAATTTTTGCAGAGAGAGTGATCTGAGAATTTTGTGAATTGACCTTTTAATAGGGATTTAACTAAATTACTTTTTTGTGTTTATTTTTTGGATTTCTGACTTTCTGTGATGTACTTGTCATAACATAATGGTTTTAATAATTCATTTGTGACTAATATTTGAGCTTGATAAATTTTAAATAAGAAAGTATTAATTAATTAGAAAGTGCTACAATAAAAACAACAGCTTTAAATATATGAATTATTTATTAGAAATATGTAAAAATGTATTAGTTTCGTATGCTTGTATATATCTATTATTGTATTTATATAATATATATTATGCATTTATAACTATATATATTTAATATATAATTATGTTATATATATAAATATTTATAATTTGTGAAAAATTCATTAAAAAACAAAAATCTATCGTTTACTGCTAACAAAAACTATTGTCATATTAATTTGTTATTATAAAAGGCAAAATAATAGTAAGTAATGGTAATTAAAAATGCAATATAAAGTAACTTCCGTACTATATAAATGCTCGAAGTGTAAATACTTATATTTTTGAAAACCAAACTAACATCGAGGTTAGTATATTCTTTGGTTTTTCTGTTTTTTTTTGTTTTTGTATAAAAATGAAGCAAGTATAAAAACAAAGACTGGAAAACGTATAACATTAAATAATTTACAATATCTTTTATAATTAAAATATATATTTTAATATTTTTTCATTGTATGCGAAAAACTAATTGAAATTGTAGGAAAAAAATTCTATATTATTAATAACAATCTGTGATATACGAGAAATTCATAGTAAAAATTTTACTAATAGTTTTTTTAGTTTGTTGCTTAAAAGAGAAGCAACACTTAATTTAACTTAGTATGTATATAAAATCTAAGTGGCTAAGAGAACTACTTAATCATAAAACTTACACTTAAAAGCGCAGTTTTCTAATTTTGCATATATATTTAAATACTCATACTTAGTTATTTAAACTTTGTCTCAACTTGTTAGGGTCTTGATAATGTGAAGAAATAACCGAAGGATGTTGTGGTGGCGGGAAGCAACGTACATGTTCAACATTTGATCCTTCACCATCGCCACTTTTTAGATATTTATTTAGAATAGCAAAAATTTGTGAATTTAATACTTGGAAACGACGTATGCGATCCACCATACGTTTCAGTTTCTGTAAACAAAACAAAAAAAAAAACAATTATAATACAGTAATAAAATAGAAATAAATATAAAATACTAACGATTCCTTTCACATCCTCATCTTTTCCATCAACTCGTTGCACGCGTAATATATGATAACAGAAATCTAAAGCCTCAAAGCGTCGTTGTTGACCGAGCAGTACAATCATAGCGCAACCGGCCCAATTAAGACCTTCACCAAAGAGTTCTTCAATGGTATATTCTGTACCACGCACCGGTATACAATAAACAAACTGTAAGGCTGACCAAAGTCTATGAAATTCCGAACATTCATCAACATGTATAATTCCATTGGCTGGCGGAGGGCCACACCAGACTGGATCATCTAAATAACCTTTGATGCGATTTAATATAACTTCGAAAATGCTTAAACCACAACAAAGGCGTTCTCGTGTTAGTAGATCACCTTCACGTGCAATCATGGCTTGCTGTTGGAATAAAATAAAAAACAATTGTTAGTATTAAAATTATAAAAATTATAATGTATCAGTAGAAAAAAAACCTTTAGATTATATTATTATAGAAATTTAATATTTATCTATAGTATCTATATTTTATCTCTAGTATCTAGTACCAAAACTTGCACAATGGGATACAAAAGAGAGTGTAGCACAAATCTGCTATTGTAGTCTCTGTTGAGAGTGGTAAGCGATGCTTGATTGTCGTGATTAACGAATGGACGTAAAACCGGTCTCTCCTTGAACCTAGTTACCCACCATATATTCATTCCACATCTCCAACAAACCCTTTTCTTCTTACTCTAGCCTTACCTAACCATATCCTGAACCATGAAGTCAAACTTATAAAGCCTTTTAAATTGCCTGCTCTATACATTTTTACAGATTATAACAACAACATAAAAACGGGGGGCATAAATGCGTATCAAGTAGGAGTTGGTAGGTAAATCTAAACTGGAGACACGTAAAGAAATCTTCACTTAACAAGACAGAATTATTAATAAATAAATAATGCATAATTGTGTATGCATTTGGACATGAAAACAGATTAGCGACGTCTACAGGCAGACATATACTCGTATATGCCTAGAATTGATTGTTCAAAGCGCAGCTATATCTAGACCTTAAATGAGCTAGCACACAGTTCTTGCTGCACGTGGGCGACATCTTCAATCGATAGAGATATCGGTGGGACTTCTATTCAGAAGTTTCTTCTAGAAAACAATCGTTTTCTAGAAGAGGTTAATGCCTCGATATGAAGAACACAAAAGTGTTACCGATATTTGCTTTACTGATGTATTTTGCATTTAATTAAATTAGAAGATGTTATTAAAACTTATCGTAATTATTGTAAACTTCTGTCCAAAGTAAGAAACTGATTACAATGACTATTGTATATTAAAATTAAAGTGGTATCATAGGGTATTGGCTAAAGAAAATAATAAATTAAAATAAATAGTAAACCATGGTCTAAGATGATTTTTCGGAGCTGTTAAATATAATTATTATTGTGTCTATTATTAAAGATCCTTATTCCACATTATAATAAATTAAAAATTTAAGAATGGATAAGGAATTTAACAAGAGTTAAAAAATAATTAATAGTTAAAAAAATCACTCTCGTTTAATAAAGAAATACATTTAAAACCTTACAATTTATTACAAGGTTTATATTAAATTATATATACATATAATATATAATATATATATAATATTTTATATTAATAAAATTATGGCATAGTAAAATATAACTTCAAATACCTTAGCAGTGCCTATCTTCTCCACATTTGATACTATCTGCAAGTTCGCAAATTGAGCTTCGAGACGTTTTTGTTTGGCTTCTGGTTTCTCGTTTTCTAAATAATTCAAAATAAGCATAAATTAATAAATTATTAAAATTGCAATTGACTTATTATTAATTAACTTACCTTTACAAAATGGTCTTGGAAATATATTTTGAAATAGCGCTGCGTGTAATAAATCACACACTTCTTCCTGTGATAAAGCTTGTTCGATTAGTAAACAGAATATAATACAATTTCCAAATTCTCGAAATGATTGGAATAACTCCGTTTTTGTATCAGGATATTGCACAATATCAGTTAAATGTGCTTGGTAATAACTAAGCACACCTGGTGAGCCATATTCGCAACGTGGTAGTTTGCAAGATTTGGGCATAGCACTCATAAGAGTTTTTGTAAATTGCAATAGACAACCTTGTATTAAAGGTTTAACGATATCTTTTAGGATTACATCCATTACCACTGCTATGCCTTGATATCCAAGCAAACGGCACATAGCATGAAAATGCGGTGCACCAACAAAGCCTGTATATTGTCCATACTGTGTTGAATAAGCAGCATTCAATTGCTTTGAACCCCATAGGTAGTAATGAGACATTTGCGCTGGCTTGTCGCGATGTATTGGTTGAGTGGATGATAAATTGACTTTGCTGCGTACAAAACTAGAATAGAAAATGTGAATTTTATTTAATTTGAGATACTTTTAAAGAATGAGATAAATTATATATTTATCAAATTAAATGCAGTGCTTGAGTTCATTTATATCAAAGTCAAATATATATTTATAACATATTTATAAATATATATAAAGTCATATAGTCAATTACAAAACAAGTGTTTTGAACTATATTTATATATTTATAAATTACATGTACAATAAAGGAAAAATATTTAAAATCAGTATAATTTTATACCATAAACGCGATACCTACCGATTTGTTGCTGCATTGTAGCAATAACTAACCAAAAAATCATAATTCAATTCCACAAAAACATGTAAAGTAATGCGTCCATATGGTGCTAAAACGTTGTGATTTGCCTCTTTAGCCATTGCATCAAAATTATCCAAAGCTAAATATTTGCTTAGAAGCTTGTGACAAATTCGATTGGCTTCTAACAAACCCTCAAGTTCCTAAAAAAAACAATTCAATAATAATTTTAAATGTATTTTATTGTTTAATATACAAAAGGTAGATATTTTTGAAAATGTTTGAAGTTTACCTCATATATGTTTAACTTACCACAATTCCAGTAATATCATTTGCTTCAAATCGACTTATGGCCAATTCAATACTCTTGTGCATATTTACATTGATTCGTTGTGTTATAAGTTTATTTAAATCAATAGACCGACCTTATTTAAATAAATAATCATTTAAATATTATTAAACAATTCATCAAATCACACAAAACGTACCCAGCAGTTGCACATGACGTTGCTTCAAAAGTGTTTCATAGCGATTATTGCGAGGATAAGACTGAAAATTAAAACCAAGTACTTCACATTCCAAACGGAAACGTTTATCCAAAAATATGCTATATAATAATAAAAAAATATTATTTATTATTTCGGCATGTCGATTGAATTAGCTCACCTTCCCGCTAATTGCTTATAGTGCGCAAATATCTGTTCACTTAAATTGTAAACAAATTGATCAAAACATAAATTTACTTCTGCTTCCACTTCATCATACAAGAACTGCTTACGAAATACTGTCAAAGCATAATGAGCCGAATCGTTGTACAAATCCAAAGGATATAAAACAAATCTGAAAGCAAACATAAATACTGTTAGTAGTGTTTATTAATATTAAGTATTTTAATTAACTTACTCCATCATAGAGGGTTCCTTTGTTTGCAAAATATGATCTGTTAATATCCAAGGCATAGACATTTCAATTGGAAATTGTATGCGTTTTTCCATAGTAATTAAATCTTTACATTCCTCATTATGCTGGTGACGTACCATACATTTGTTGACTTTACGCCCCATCGTCATTTCCAAATAGAATTCCCTATACCATAGTTGCGAAAGGTCGCAGCTTTTTTGTAAGGTTTCACTAAAGTTAAGCAAATAACTCCAGTAAAATGATGTCTTGTGGAAAGTATCAATTTGCATTAAACATGTGCCATCAATATCCTTACGCAGAGTGCGTTTCCCACCACTTTTATCAGCTATAAGCGATTCCAACATAGTGCGCACCATATAGAGTTGTGTAGATGATGGACCCACATTTAAACGTGGCACATGTATACGAAATCCGCCATCGGGATCTTTTTTGCCTTTTCCTGCGGGATCATCAGTAGGTTCGTAACCTTTCTGCCAATCGGCTGATGTTTCACGCACTGACATTATTATACTACGTATAAGATCTTTTTTATTTTTGACAGCTTTACGTAAGGGTTCGCGCAGTGTAACTTGTACAAAATCCTGTAATTCTGAATATATATTTCGACGTATAGCTTCACACAGTACTGTTTCAATGCGTGCCATAAGAACCTGCGAAATATATTTTTATTAATTTACATGTAATGAATAAACAATTCTGTAAACATTTACCTGTAAACCTTTGATCATTGCTATTACTTCAATCAGTGCAAATTTCTCTTCTGAAGTGTAGTTGTAGCGCGTCGCACGTTCATATTCCTCTGCCTCTACGGGACATTCTTTATTTTGGTGATGGTCGGTAGGATGCAAAAGTTTCCAAGAATACAATTCAGTCACTACACTTGTCCACTCTGAGAGTAACTGTAAGCCACGTAGTGCTAAATCTGATGTAGCGCGATTTTCTGCATCAGTCGGATTTTCTTTAACCGTTGTTGTGACTTCGTTTGTATAACGCGCCAATTCAGATATATACTTAACATGATCTTCACGTATCTGTGGTAAATGTACCATTAAGTCAGCCTGTGGACTAATTGCGTTTGAACTGGATAGTGGCCACTTACTGGAATCAAAGTGTTTGCTACGTTTGATGTAATTGAAAGGAGCAATTTGCATATCGCCAAATAACGGTACCACTTCCAGGTTTTTAAATATACGATCAATGCGATCTAAACGTATTTTTTTCTTTTGATCTAATTTATTGATATTGCAACCATCACTGTCCATCAAAAACAAGCCGAAGCCCATCACTTTAACTAACATATGCTTTTCTTCGGGTGTCAAGTACATTTTTGTTTCAAACATATGCACACAGATATTTACAACATCCGATAATAGATCTTCATACCCAATGATTTTCTCTAATGTGTCCTTAACAGTGTCACGTATTTTATTTTGTGTGGCCAGAAACATTGAAAGATTCTGAGACTCTTGCAGTGTATGCGAATCTGACATTACTTTCAAAAATTGTGCAGCACGTCTGTAAGTGCTGTAATCGTTCTTAACACTGGATTTCATATTTTTCAATTCATCCAATACAGCAAACATGTTGATGAACTTTCCCAATGTTAATAAATAAGCTTCGGAAACAAAATCTTTACGTTTCTCGGCATGACATAGACGTTTTACTTCACCAGAAAATGCCTCTATGGCTTTGCGCTGTAAGTGAAAGAACAAATTTTCAATAATTTTAAATTAGTTAACAAATAAATTTGGTTTAACTTACCTGAAAATACATGAAATTCAATAATTTGTTTACTTCCGGTGCCAACACTTCTACGGTTTTTTCGTATATCTCGACACGATTTGGCTGCTCATTCGATTTAGGCTGTGGTATAGCGCGTGAGCAGCAACGCCAAGTATATAACATAACAGCATGTTTCTGTCCTTCCTCCAACAAAACATTCTACCCATGAAATACAGAAAGCATTAGCCTCAATATTATATTGAATTATTTGCATTTTACCAAATTGGCGTGTGTTGTGGCCTCTTCGATATATTTAGCAATTCCGGTAACAAAACCATTACGATCTTCGAAGTTTGTATCGAAGTTTGCTTTATAAATAATGGAACAAGGCTGCGCTTCAATGCATGGCTGCTCATCAGGCAATGATAATTCATCCAGTACTTCCACATTGGACAAAGCGTCCGCCAAAGTAATCTTCTCCGTCATCTTAAAACGTTTTTGAAGAATTTACTAAAAATTTGTACAAAACAAATAATTTAATTAATAAGAGCCAGCGATCGTTCTTCAACAAATGAAATCATTTCTACAAAACAGGGCGGGTCTCAACTCAATAGACCAAAACTGAAATTTGATTTTGTTTCATTTCAAAACATTACACGACACTAAGAACAACCGATAACTTAAGTATCGAAAGCAAGCTTAATACTTAAATAATTTAAAGCATTTTTGTAAATTAATATTAGATTAAAACCAAAACACTTTTATTTTTACCATATTCACTGCAAACGCGAAGAATTTTCATTAATCACTTGACATGTCAAGAGACAGTGCAGGGTAGCGTTGCATTTTCACTAATTCATATGCAGGTAGTGTTGTTAAACGGTAACATTTCTTAATACATATGCATAACTGTTATAATGAACACAGATGGGCAACATTTGGGACAAACTGCAATAAAATTTAAAATTGTCTCATTATGAATTATAACAAATAAACGTTTATTGAAGAAAAGTAATTTTTAATTCTTACACAATTTTTTTTATTTCCTTAAAGTTTTTTTTACTACGATTGTAATGTTTTAACACATATTAATAAAATGTATTAACAATCAAATTAATTATCCATACATAAAGTCATATAGTATAGGTACTAAATTTATAAAAAACTATACAAACAAATATAAATGGAATTATAAATGTTATGCACACTATACCAACAACATAGAGATATAAAGACATGTAATTTGCCTCTGTTAAAAAAATCATGAATACTGAAAAGAAAAACATGTTTGTGTAAACATAAAAACTATCGAACTTATTATTTCATTTATGATGACTAATATTTTGTTAGTGGAGTCAGCAAATAAACAAAACTTCATTAATATACTACGAATCGGCTGATATCCTACTATAGAACATAATACTATCTTCACTACTGAACATATTAATAGTATTTACATTATGAACAACTATGGTTGCACTACTCTCGCTGCTAATTCCCTTATAATAGGCAAACTTCATATTTTTGTATGCGGTCAGTATAAAATTTCATCAAAAATCAAATTTAAAATAATTTGGAAGAACTTGTGTTTTATATAAATCCAAAAACAAAGTCTATGCATCACCTTCAACAATAATGCCTCACTTACCCTAGCATATAAAGACACGAGTTCGAGTAAATTTATGGTAAATTGAGAGAAACAGTAAATAATGTCGGTATGGCAGCGAATATTGGTATTAAGGACGTGTGCGAGTTAGGCTAAGTTGCGTTCTAAATGAGGGAAATTCTAAGTTGAGCCGATAATGTAGTGATGTGTCGATACGTGTTGATCAATGGCTAAATGTGTGCAGTGCAAAAAATCCCAAAAAATCTCCCATTTGGTTTAGCATCAACTTAGCCTAACTCGCACACGACCTTAGTAGAATTTCGAGTAGGGTGAATTAGATAAAAATGAGGTAAGTTAGGTGTTACCATTGTGGAAATTTTATAAGATGTATAATAAATAAATAAATAAATTTGAAAACCTTTTAACCAAACATAATGAATAAGTGCAATAAATTAATAAATAAATATTTACTTAAGTGCAGTGCAAAAAATTCCTAAGAAATTTCAATTTACTTTACCTCAATTTACTCGAACTAGCACACGGCCTTAGTAGTGTGCAATAACAAATAATAGTACAATATGAATATATAGGACTATTAAAAACTGTTCTATTAGAATTCATAACACGCATATATATTTACACATGCACATTTTTATCCAAGCTATGCATGGACGATATACAACACAATACAAATGTTGTTATAATTACAAAAAGTGTTATAAAGTGAGTAATTCTGTATATTATAAAGTGACGTTATCTGGCAACACTAGAGCACACATGAATTCACATATTGCCAGGGCAGAAGTAACTGCTGCATTGGTTTGGGTTTATATGATTTTCCAATATTTTTACATTTAACTCAGACGTTCGGATCGGATTTGTTAATTTTATAGCTTTTACCTTAATTATTAATTATTACATAATACAACAGTAATGAGAGAAGTTAACACAAGAGTTTTATAGAAACCGTATTGCAAAAAATAAAGAATGGCCAAGAATAAGAGCACCGTGTTCCTTGGATACGAAGACGAGGAAATTTCTGCAAAACATGCTACACAACTAAATAGCACAGTTAACAAAATCGGAGGCACACCAGTAAGTTATTTTGTTAATTTTCAAACTATGAAATCAATTAATTACGTTCGCTATATGTTAACATAATCAAAATTGATTTTTCACAACGATCGAATTTTTTGAATTTTCAGGATTGGCCATTTAACGATATAAAGGTGCCACCATGTCCTATATGTAGTTCAGCACGTCCGTTATTAGTGCAATTATATGCACCATTAGAGCATTCCCAATTTCATCGTACACTTTATATATTCGCTTGTCTGAATCCCATCTGCTCACAAAATTCTAAAAGTTGGCTATGTATACGCACACAACATCTAGAAACACCAAATCCGGCTGATATAATTAGTGTGGTACCACCACCACCTGGTAGCAAAAAGAAGAAAAACAAACAGTCAATAGCAGCATTGCCAATGCCACATAAAGTTAATTGGTGCAGTGGTGCGGATGATTGGGGTGAGAATACTATTGATGTAGAGGAAATGGATACTGAAGCCGATGATGTGCAATTTCAAAACGAAGAAAATGGTAATGTGATTGCAAAAAACGATAATTCACCAGTACGACCGTTACAAAGTAAGATACCAGGTGCATCTTTGGTTGGTTCAGAGGAAGAAGATGATGATGAGGATGAGAGTACTTCGATGGAAAATGACTTAATTTGTGGTTTTGGTCAACTGGATATGCATGCAGCACAACACGGTGCAGAGGATCCTAATGCTAACTGTGCTGGAGGTATAGCACTTGATGGACTTTTGGTTGGACCTGGTGCTTCCGCCACAATATGTGCTGAAATTGAAGGCGCCGAAACTGATGTAGTACTTGTTGAAACACCAAAGAAACCTGAACGTGATTTAATTGCGTTATTTAAGCACACTCCACAATCGGCAGCCTTGGGCCCATTAGCTAAAATTACTGATGTGACAATAAAACCATATTTCATATCAGTTGATATTGAAGTTGGACAAGGTCAGAACGAATACGATTACGTAGGTAGCTTATCTGCAGATCATGTACTTGAATTATATCAGGATTATAAGCGACAAGATGAAACAAAGCATTCTCCCAGCGGCGGGGCCGTTGGCGCTACTAATATCAGCGATACAATTGGCATTGTGAATGGTGGCGGTGGTGATGAAGGTGAAGTATATGAAAAAACTTTGCCTGCACATGGTGATATTATTTTCCACCAATTTGTCAGCACTCTACAACGGTATCCTGGTCAAGTTTTAAGGTTAGTTATATTTAAATTCATTTAAATTGATAATTTAAGATTAAACATTAATTTATATCAGATACTCACGTGACACATATCCGTTATTAATTGCACCACTTGCTGAGGCTTTTCCTAAGTGCCCAAATTGTAATGGTGATACCATATGCGAAGTTCAAATACTCTCTACACTTATACCAAAACTACGTTTAAACCAAAACAATGAACCTGCACCTATCGAATATGGAAATGTTTTGGTGCTTACATGTTTAAAAAGTTGCTGGGATACACCTGATAAGATGCGTTATGAGCGAGTTATAATACAAGTCGAGAAATAAGTAAAAAATGATTATAGCTGTTACTTAGAGTTGGTATACCATTTTGAAATTAGCTTAACAGTGTAACAGTGTGGTCAGTAGTGCACAATTTCTAGAAGTTTTGTTAATTTATGGAGGAAGTATATATTATTGAAAAGTAGTATGCACTATCAGTCATTGCATTTAGAAAATGTTAAGAGTTTTAGCACTATGTTCAGTTTTCATTAGAACTCAAATATAACATTAACATTGTCTCCCTCTGGAGACCTTATGCTCCTATAGGAGATAAAGGAACTAACAACATTGTTTCATTTACTTCGCACACTCCACAAGAAAAGTTAACGATCTCACGAGTCTATAGAAACTGCATAAACAAAAAGTCATCCAAAAAATCTTGCATTATATTTTTCTTGTGTTTATTATTAAGCTTTATAGGCTCAGAAGTTTAAATATTGATTTTGTTTCTCAACTGTTATCCGCGCAAATCGGAACAAAATTTAGCGGTCCCATATTAAACATTCTTTCACTAAGATTTGTTTTATAATGTAGCAGACATAATATAAACAAACACCTCCGTTACTCATTTGGTTCACTTGAGAAAAGTATTATTCACTTATTCTTAAGCCACACTATACGCAACAGCATTAAGATACTAACATCAAAAATAAGTTTTCAGAAAGAATTTTATAATATTGAATAAAAAATACTAAATAGTTTTAAATTATATAAACCGCTTCCATAACAACCGAAATCGTTAGCACACTGACACGCTGTACATTGTTAAATTATTGGAAAGCTAAAAATGTACCTAGCGAAAGATTAAATTATTTCAATTACATTTAAATTATTGATGAAAACATTTTAGTCTCGCTTTAAAGCAGGCTTTTTAAAATATATTAACTATTTATCAGATTAAATTTTAAACTAAAATTAGTAGTTGTGAAAGAATAGTTAGCATTGTAGGTAAAAAGTAATTTATATCAAATTATGATATAGTAGAATCGTAGGTTTACGAGTAGGTTTCTCACTGTGAATTATTAAAATTTTATCATTCATTAAAAAATTTAAAAAATTATTAATGTTAGAGCTAAGCTTGTCAATTGTCCATTTTGAAACTATTTTTTTAACTTATATAAATGATGGAATATTAAAAATATTTTTATTTATTTTATTTATTGATTATATATGTTTTAAGCAAAGATGTAATTAAGTACATTTTATGTTAATTTCAATTAAATTTTAAGATATTTTATTCATTAACACTTACATATTTATAATGTAATGAACTACTAATATGTGTTTTATATAATATATTTATTAAAATCTATGTACACTTTTTTGAGCATGCACTGGCTAAGAGTTCTCATTTATTACATCGATCAATGCTTTAAGGAAATTGCATTTGTTTTTTAAATATTTGTCAGAGTTTTAAATTTTAACTTTATAATTAGTGAATTTTAATAATTTATTGTGTATTGTGTATTTAAGTAAAAAATGACGGCCATTCTTTTTGACCATTAAGTTCAAAATACGGGTAAAATTAGTGACGAATATTTGCTTTAAATTAAAATGTTTTAATTCATAGGCAACAATAATACAATAAATAAAACTGGCTAAAAATAATTTACTTTCTTTTTTTAAATGACATTAAGAAATTCCACTTTAAAATATACGAGTAATAAACTGTAGATTAGGGAATTAATATTACTTTTTGTTCGAAAGTAACTTTAATATAATGATTGAAAATGATTTATTTTCAATATGAAAGATCATACCATATCCAATTATTTTTGGAGAACTAATAGTTGTAATAACGAACGATATTTGTGTGTCAATAGGCTACACATAAAATGAATTTAAAAAAAATAGTGTGAAATCCCTAAACCCCCTTGTGTTATTCAAGTATAATTCTTAAAGATGGACAAAGTTAAAATAAATTATTATTTGTGCAATACAGTATTATGTTAAAGAACACAATAGGGCAAAGATGACAAGAAATGCAAATTGTAACCGTTTTAATTCATTTAAAATTATTTTTCTTCATAGCATAAAAAAATAGTTAAAGCAATAAAGGTGAACAGGGATTCTGGCATGCAAATTAATATTGTAGTTAACCATAATAGAAATTGCATTTTTTATCTTATAGCTTATCAAAGTGATAAGCGATGTTTTCTTATACGACAACTGCATGCAGTCACAGAATAATATAAGTGTCTCATATACTGACAGTCCTGATCTTTGGCTTTGTGCCATTAAGGTCTTAAAGTTATGACAATCTAACTCTTGTAGCATTCTTTCCTCCTCATTGGTATCCTATATTATTCTAATAACTTTTATTTATTAGTTTATTTTTCCGTTCGAATTAAATACTTGTTAGTTTATTAAAGAATGGATTAAACTTAAGTAATGACAGGTTATATAGCCCATTTTATTAAGGGAGATCATTGGACAACAACCAATTATATATCAAAAACAAAAATAGTAGTTGTTGCAACAATGTTCTCTACTGGAATTCACTATATACGAAAAGACAGCTATTATGGTTATCACCATAAATGTAAATATTATCTCGAATACTATATATATGAAAGAATTGACAGATAAGATTAAATGGTTCGTCATAAAATCGTAATTATTCTACAGTGCGTGAACGCAACGTCATTATAAATAATATGCTTTAGAAGCTTTTTATGAAGTAGATTTCCAGAATAGAGGAAAAATGACAAAGGTGACTGATTTTAATATTCTACTAAATCTCGTGGAATATTAATTATTAATAGTAATTAAAATAATATTACATCGAATGCTTAGGTTACATACAACATCAATAAATAACGAAATAAAGCAAAACTTAATTTCATAAAATCTAATAAATTACATACATTAATAAATTTCAAAATAAACCAAAACTTAATTCTTATAAAATCGAAAAAACTACTCTAATATTGTTTATCAACATTAAAAGTTATATAATATATCTTTATGTTAGTTTAACAATTAAATTTTTTTTTTAAATTTAATATATATGCATTTATATAAATGAATAGTTCTTTATGTGTATATAAATGAATACATATTTCATTAAATTTTATTTTTGTTTTTTTTTTACTTAAGACAATGGGGCATCCGAATCCAAATGATAGCTGCGTACAGGTGAAAACCACAATGGAGGAAATTTAGAGGGAGTTAAATCAAATTCCGATGTAGTTTCCACCTTATTGCGAATTAGTATCACAGAGTAATGCAGCCATGCAATCTGTGAAAATTTACGTTTTGGTGTGCTTACAATACGAAACTTCATACAATATTTAGTGGAATTGTAATCTTCATTACATGCTGAACTGCCACGTCTATGTCGTGCATACTGATGACCAGTTGTTATGATACGTTGATGAGACTGTTGTCGTTTTAACATTATGGTAACTGTGCTACCATAAAGATGATAATGGCCACGTAAAACATCAGGCCTCAATTGATTTATGTTTCTCAAACGTGTAACACCTTGTACCGGTTCATCGGCAGTGGTTAACATTAATACAGTGCCATCCGGTAAGAAACGTAAATAACGAAAATATTCAACAAGTTGCACAGGACGATAGAATTGATCTTGAAAACTATTCTCGCCCATACGTAAATATTTCGTCTTACTTATATAACAGCCATTGAAGAGTAAACGTTCTCGTTCAATAAACATTTGACGCCAAGAGGAATATTGAGGCAATTGTATGATATCTTCAATGGTGTCATCAATTTCCAATGTAGGATTATTTAAGGTACCTACATTTACTCCCCAAACTCTGAAATCCAAAAATATACAATATTAATATACAAATATATATTAAGTGGTTAATAATGTAAACTGCATTAATACATGGTTTTTATTAAGTTCATGGTTTAGATATATGTTTCCATATAGATGTGCATATATGTATCGTTTGCTCATCATAATGCACATATATATATATATATATTTGAGCATTTCATTTTATACGTACTTTACACATGCCAATCGCCACAATTCTTCATCACGCGCACATAAATAAAGTCCTTTACATACTGCGGCGCAATTCTCTAACGAACGCATATCCAATTGTAAGGATATCACCCAACGTAAGATATACAAAAGTATTTCTGGTGGCAAATCTGATATATGCATTTCAGTGGTAATAACATTTAAATCACGACTGCTGAGTAGCAATTTACCACCACAATCCCGTGCCAAATCCATTTGAAATTTCTCATACAAATCTGCAATAACGTCTTCACCATCAGAATCATGATCTACTTCAGTATTTTCTATCACATTCTGCGTCTTTGTTGTTACTTCAACATTACCAGATTTAAGCTTTTGACGTTCATAGAATTTGAATTCAATGTCTGGTACAATCTGTACGGCTTTACGGTAAAATGGTATTGCATCATATACTTTACCACGCTGCTCCAATTCAACCGCTTTATGAAACAAGCTTTCTGCCAAATTATGCTGTTCATTTTCGGGTATGTCTTTGACATTTGTCAATGGACTCAGGCATTCAATTATTTCATTCGATTGTAGTGTATCCTCAAACTGCACCGAAGCCTCTGTTTCACTAAATTGCTTCAACTCCTTCTGCCAATTGGTGCGAAACTCATCAAGCGCTGTACGAAAATTGTTCGCTGTTAGAGGTGAATTTATAACATCCGATGTTGTTGGTGAAGATGAAGATTGTTCATCTTCATTTTCGTTTGATGAATTATCTGACATGACACTGAAAAAAATGAACAAATAATTATTTTTTATAAATAAATAAAGAAATCCGAATTACCACTGGAGTTTGTACAGTTAATCTGTACAATATCTGTTGATGGCTTCTTCTTTAACAAGCTCCCGTTGAGTAAGTAGAACACTTTAACGGCAACGTTCGCCTAGTTCACGGTCACTGTACCGTATGATGAAAGGACGAAAGTAAAATTGTTGTAATACGAAGGACACAAGTAAACGTAGTTTAACAATTTTTATTGGTGCAGTTATTGCGGATATGTTAACAATTGGCAATACTTTAAATAGAACCAAACTTTTGCTCATCATAGGATGACGTTGGCAGTCTCCTCAACAAATTATAAAGTCAATATTGATTGAAATTCAATAATAATTTATGTGGCACCAACAAAACACTGTTATAAATTTTTAATTATATTTTTAACAATTTAAAGTAAAATTAAAAGTTTTTTTTTATGAAGTTCGTTAAAATTTCTTTACTAAATTCTTTTCATAGCCACAAAATTTAAAGCAAATTTTTCACTTTTGCACAACTGCGCACTTTTTCTTGCGAATGCCCTTTAAGTCTTCATAACATATGTTTGCACTAAATTCCTAGACTTTTTTCCATATTTACTATATAAAAAAACAAGATTCCCTTGGCAAGTGTCATTCGGTGGCAAATGTCAATGCGGCAAATTGAAGCCAGCTGATGTGTCCACTTGCAGATCCATTTTGCATTTAAATTTTCAAAATTCACTACTTTACTAAGTATCTCACAAAATAATTTCACATTTGTTGTTATTTAAATAAATAAAACATTTATCTATTATTGTGAAATATAATAGCTTAACCCTTTAGTGACATTAACAAACTTAGCACGAACGGCTCTGACTTCACATATATGTGATTACTTATTATTTTGAAAGTTTATTTGTTTTTATTTGTAGGGATTCGATAAAGAATATTAATAATATTTAAAAACATTTTATTTTCATAGAATATTTAACATATGAATATTGTCTTTAGGTATTCAGTAAATTTTTACGCACAATCTTTATTTCTTTATTCCTGTGTATGAATTGTACACAAAGTTCCAAATTCAGCGCTACCGATGTCGTTCAAATTTCAAATATATAAGAAATATATTCTTATATAACCCTAACTTAATTAAATCAAGTATTGAAAATCTTCTCAAGTGAACGTAGTTTTCTATTGATATATAAGATCTGTTTCACTAGCTACTCGTAGTAAAACACAAGTAAAATACAACTGAGAGCGTAACACAAATAAATTGCCAAACTACGTTCTTTACACATGGAATAGCTTTGTGTAAAATCTGGTGAAAACACCAGTACCGCGCAAAAAAACAATACAAAAATTTGAATTCAAACCAAAACAGCTGATTCACGCAAAACAAAAATTTTACTTCAAATAAAATGTACAAGTAAAGTCTGTGTAGCATTTTCAAATTTCAACAAGAATATTACGCTATCTCAGATGCTCTCATTTACTCGAAAATTTGCTGGTGGAACGCACTGGTGTATATACACAGTGTTACTTAAAGTTACTACGAGTATCTTATGGAACAGAACTATAATATACTACTAGTTATATTAAATATTTCCACTTTTTACAAATTGCTTGCAATTATTTATGTGCGCTTTAGTATTTATCATATGAATCAGTCTTTAACTGAACTCAAATATACATATTACTTAGTGAAACAGAGCAAACTTAAGTGTGAGAAGTAAAAGAAAGCTGAAACAATAGAAAAACAAAATTAAATGCGTTGAGCCTGAAACAGTTGTCGTAGATATAGCGAACGTAGAAAATATAACATGGCAGAACGTAGATAAAATCATTAGTTATCGTAGAATACACACAAACCAAATTTCATAAAAACATGAACAACACAAGTTCTGTTCGATCATTAAATATATTACATATAGAGAGAGGCAATGCAATTCTTCAATGTTTGTGTTAGTTAAAATAAGTTTTCTTCAGTGCTCACGGCGAACAGAACAAGATTAATCGATTGCATTGTTTTCCATATAATAGAATAGATCAGCTGATTTAAAGCATAAATGTTGAATTAGTATTGTTATAAAAAAACAGCCGACAAGTTCCATCATATGGAATACAATGCAATGAATTTTGGTTAACAAATTATAAAGAACTTGCAAGCGTTGAGTCTTGATAAAAAGTTGTGTTTATTGTTATATCTTATGCCACAGCTGCTGCTACACATTAAGTATTGTAAGGTTGGCAACACTTATTGTTTGACACTGCAATATGTTTTCTGTTGCATTTTTTTTTTAAACTTTTTGCACGAAGAACTTATTTCTATTTTGGCGCATTTGGTGACGGTTCGGCTGCCATTGCTGGGAATAAGCTTTTAAAAATATAAAAGTATTTGTTTAACAGGATTATTTGCATAAAGTAAAAATAAACTGTATGAAATGGATGAAGTGCGTGAAATAACTATACTTGTGAAATGGAGCGGCAAGGAATATCCAATTAATGACCTGACAGATCAGGACACTGTGGCTGTTTTACGCCATGAAATCTTCAAACGAACCCAAGTACGCCCAGAACGTCAGAAATTGATAAATTTAAAGTATAAAGGTATGTTGTATACTTATTTTCAAAACAATAAAAGTTAATTTGTAAACAAATTCAGCTAAACCAGCAGCGGATGATACTAAAATTGGTTTATTGGAGCTTAAACCAAATTTTAAATTAATGATGGTGGGCTCCACCGAAGCGGATATTGAATCAGCTTGCCAACGTCCTAATGATGTCGATGATGTGTTAGATGATCTCGATATTGTGGTAGAAGAGAAAGCATTTAGAATTGAAAATTCCAAAGTTTATTTGTCAAAAATACAACGCCGTATACGTGATTATAAAATTACTGAAATTAATCCACCACGCGACGGCAAACGTTTGTTGGTCTTAGATATTGATTATACACTTTTCGACCATCGGTCAGCAGCTGAATCTGGCGCCGAATTAATGCGACCGTATTTACATGAATTTCTTGAATCTGCATATGAACATTATGACATTGTAATATGGTCGGCAACTGGTATGCGATGGATTGAAGAAAAAATGCGCCTATTAGGTGTGACCACAAATACCAATTATAAGATTATGTTTTACCTCGACTCAAATGCAATGATATCGGTACATACAAGTGATCGCGGTGTAATAGATGTGAAGCCTTTGGGTGTAATATGGGGTATTTATCCGCAATATAGCGCTAAAAACACAATTATGTTTGATGATATACGTCGTAATTTTATAATGAATCCCAAGTCTGGCCTTAAAATCAAACCATTCCGTCAGGCGCATTTAAATCGCGACAAAGACGACGAATTATTAAAATTATCGAAGTATTTGCGTGATATAGCTTTAAATTGTGAGGATTTTAACAAACTAAACCATCGTAAATGGGAAAGTTTTAATCCAAAAAAATGAATTTTAGATTTAAGTATTTTGTTAAAATAATTGTATTGTACTTTGTGTGTTTATGATTTGTTTCTTTAATGTAAATTTAGTTTGTATACTTTTGCAGCATTAAAAATGATGTCATGATTTAAAATAAAATTATAAAATCTAAGGCATTGAATATAAAACTTATTGTAAAAAAATAATTGCCAAAAAAATTTATTTCTTATTGGTGATAAAGTATAAAATGCATTTAATACGTTTTTAATAAATTAATTATATTTTTGTATAAAAATATTGTTTTTATTCATTTAAATGAAAGGGTTAAAAGTAAGTGATTCACATCTATATATCTTCAGTAAAAAAAGAAAGGCTGTTTATATGATTTAGTAATTTGAGCGATACTGTATATACAATCATTTTTGAAAACATATTTTTTTATATATAAAATGGTATATATATGTTGGTATGTTTCTTTTTAATCTGTTTATAAAAACTGATATTATACTAACACTACGAAAAAAACACTTATTGCACATTTATTCATACAAAATTAATAGGACTAAATCTTTTATGTATAATAGCTGGTAATAAACGAAACATAGAGGTTACGTTTGTATAGTACAAAATTAAAGGAAAAATGGAAAATATTTCTGGTTATCAAAGAAATAAAATCTGCTGGACATGAGCGTCAAAGACTGTATTACCAAAAACAAATAAAACAAGTAATATCGTTACCTGAGGCATATGCAGGTCTTGAAAACTGCAGGACATTGAATCAAACAGAGACTTCAGTATTGCATCTCGTTTTTGCTTTGGAGTCGTGATTGCCTCAACAGCAGTGTTCTACGCTACGTTGCATCTTTCAAACTGCCATCCTATCAGAAATTATTATCTATATTAGGATTTCTCAGCTGCTGGTTCGCGCCATAAGCATTGCCCTGCAAAACATTGTGAAATTTTTTTCTATCATAATACGTAATGACTCGAGAAACACTGGTCTATATAACTATCTATTCATTATCTTTATTCATTATCTATTAATCATAAAGTTTTATTGTGATACAAAGCCATTTATATTTTACATATACATATATTTTTTAATAATTAAAATTTATATACAATTATTTTAAGTATATATTATTTATTTAATAAATTATATCCTAAAAATGTAACAAGTAACAATAATAAATTAAGTAGCCTTATAATGTGTAGCCACCCTGATCAGCCCAGTGCACTCTTCGACTGTCCATATAATCGAAACTTTCATATATTTTACGTCGTTCTTCATCAAGCGCGGCGAGACCTTTATATTTTTGTAGAACATAACAACAGCTGAATAAGAAGGCGATTTGGAATATGAGCCAGAAAATAAATATAGCAATTAGTAGACTCTGGTTCAGACATATGCTATCCAAATTAAGTTGATCATCTATATATATGTATATTTAAGTATATATATATTCTTTTCTAATTTAATTAATAATATGTTTAATTACTCACCTATACCAGCTATGAGTAACACTCCGCGCTCCCCATATATATAACTATTGCTATTGGTCATATCCGGACCACGAACGTGTAGATTATAATTAAGTGGCAGCGTATCTGTATAGTTCATGTAATATTCTGTTGCTAAATTAGATATATTTTTATTCGCATTCTCGGGAAGGTTTTTGATATCCATTACAGTTGATATGTAAATTGGATTTTGTACTTTTAAATGTGATGGTTCCAACTGTAACTCTCTACGTTTTCGTTGATTTTTACCATGTTGTCTGTATCCAACGCCGGTTCCATTTTGTATGCAATTGATTTCTGGACAACGCTGCCCACAAAAATGTATTTTGACATCAAAATTAACCATACCATTGCCGGCGAATTTGAATGCATGGAAATTCACATGTAGTATATTTTTGCTATGAGTACGTATGCGTTTCAATGCTGGAAAAACTGACACATCTGTTGGACAACCACGATTATCTATAAGCAAAACAAAATTTTTGTTATCCGGAGTTTTGGCGATTAGCGAAGTAGCTCGAAAATCAGGCAGTGGTGGCAGTTCAATAGTTCTGAGACTATTCTGCAGTTGTTGTTGTGGAGTATATTCTGCAACTATTTGTAGTTCTAAATTTTGTCCAATTTGTACATCATTTGTTTCATGTTGGTGTGATAGATCAATAATCTGTAAAGTTATTTTTGGCAGTATAGTCGGATCGATAGTATTATTTATTTGTAGAAATCCCTCATTGGGAAGTGTGCTGCAGTAAGAGATAATTAATTTTTTTTTTAGTGATTTTAGTATAGTAAAATTTTTCGATTCACCTTTGTGCATAATCTAATGATGACTCTAGTGCAATTGCGTTGGGTATTTCTTCTTCTTCGGAATTAGTATCATCTATACCGTTTTTTAAGGTTGAATTGCTCATAATGCAACCAACTTTTATTAATCGATCACCTTGTGTCTGAACATTTGCATTATTTTGTATAACAATTAGAGTTGAAACAAATATTCTAAAAATAAATATAGATTTGGTAAATAAATTTGATATGATAATTTAATTCTTCGCGTCTAACCTTTGATAGGTTCTAGTGACTTCGTAAGCACGTAAGATCCCACAACGATTCTCCTTTATTTCACTACCGATTGGCAGGCGCAATAAAGTACTCTTCGTACCATTTCCAAGTGCTACGCAATCTTTTGAATGCAAGCTCACGTACATTTTTCCGGAAAACCAATCTTTAGGAGTGTATTTTATAGCCATTTCGTTATTAGTGCATATGACCTGTACTATTAGAAGATATAAATATAAAAAAAAGAAATTAAATAATAGCAATAGATTGCAAAAAAGGTGTAATAGTATTTATACTATTATGGTGGCGCGACCAAGATGAGTGAATAATAGGTGAGATTCAAACGGGGCATTGCACAAAAAAGCTTTCTGGAGTATAAATATTAACATGTTGTGATACCTAACTATTTAATAGACTAAACTGATAATCTGTTGATAAATTTGGTAGTTTTTTTTTGGAATTATCGATTTTTGAGGCATGAATTTATCAGGGAAAATGTTAGCTATATAATTATTATGTCATTATCGTTAATGGCGCAACGATCCCAGATGAATCTTGGTTTCCTTTAGTAATTGTCACCATGTATCCGTGTTGCTTTCTAGAATTCTTCAATTTCTTTTTCCAAACAATTCTTAAATAATTCATATTAAGGAAGTGAACGAGAAACAATAACTACAGTATAGATTAGACAAGAATAATAATAAAATTTAAAAGAATGTGGTGTAATTTTATTTAAGATTATTATATTATGTCATATATTATATTATACTAGAAAAAATAGATAATAAACATCCATAAGAAATATGTGGTGTACAATTATTTACTAACTCCGAAAAAAATACCACAGTAAGTAAGAGCAAATTACTAATAAAGATTTTGGGTTATAGCGTATAAATATTTATTAGTTCCGAAAAAAACTACTAAATGGATAGAAAAGTACTTGTATTGATTTTAGAGTATATATATAATATATAGAGTATATATAATGGAAAGAAGTAAAATTACTAGTACAGATTTTGGAATATACAATTGTTTATAATGTTCGAAAAAACTCCACAGAAGCGAATATAAAATTATTAAGAAATATTTTGGGATATATAATTATTTATTATTTCCGAAAATAGGGAAGGTTAGAAAATTGCTGATGAAGTATAATTTATTTATTCTAATACATATTCTATCTGATATGATGTCTGATAAAAAATTTCTGATAAAGATAATGGGGTATGTTAAATGTTTTAAATTACCATAAGTATTATTAGGAATATTAGGAACTCGTCTGATGAAGGCAAGAGCGACTTTGCCGACATACGTATAGGAATATAAAAAAAATACGATCGAAGTAAAAGTGAAAATCTTAAAACACAAAATCGACTTTACCATAAAAAGGTATAGCAAATAATTAATATATATTTTATATGACATATATTTATATTTTTTATAATATATTTTAAAATACAATATTCTTTATTTATTCTGTAATTTATACATAAAGTCAAATCAAGAATTTTTGATATATAATAACTTACCATCCAAACATTTTACTCTTCTCATGTAAACTGAATTTTCTCGTTCTTTTAGACTACGTGGACCCATGGAAATCAAATCTTCAGAATGTAATAGGCATTCGGTGTTGGTTAAATCTTTTTCGTAATAAAATGATACCCCTTGACAGTAGAAGCTTGTCTCCTGCGTACAACGGGATTGACACTATAAAAATATGATAATATTTAATTTCAAATAATTGAGTTTATTTTTTTTTTATTAGATTAACAATAGTTTTTGTCATTTTTTCAAATCAAATTTAATTCAAATTGTATTCTTTCCACACCTCTTTTTGGTCAAGCCCCATCAGTTTAGCTTCCGCATAAATGAAGCTGCTGTTCGCATATAATTCATATGAGCACTGATCATTTTCCATTTCACGTTCATAGCATTGATTTTCGATGTACTCCTCATCATAGGGTGCAGCCCGGAATGCGTCTGGCTGTATCATTTTATCTTTGTCACTGAGTATGCAGCGGCCTAATGTGATGTGTTTTTGTGGTTGATCTTGTTGAAAAGATCTAAACAACATAGAACAAAAACATGAATATATTAGATTATGTTTACATGACAAGATTAAAGATATAAAATAACAATGGAATGAGCTATCAAGATACTAAGGAATTAAAAAGTTTTGTATAAAAATAAATTAATATCGATGAAAATGTTGAAAAAATCATATAGAGAGATTTGGTTAAAAATATTTAAAAACAAATAAAATTTTTTTGATTATTTATAATGTATTTTATGATATAATGTATGATTATGTATAATGTTTTACATAAAATGATTTTTGATGGCTCTATAAACCTCTTAATTAAGTTCAAGTAAATTGGGTTGAGAAGGTTGGGTTTGCAGTTAACAAATCTACAGTTTAAATGAGGTAATCAAAATGTTTAAAAAAATTGCATTTCTATTTTTTATTTCACTAATAATTATTTAAATAATAAAAAATGATATCATGCAAATTAAGTTGAAAGTAAAAGCAGAGAAGCAATAAAAAATGTGAAAAACACACTTCACGGCGTTTCCACAAAAATGCGCAATTACTAAATGAAAAGGTTTTTTTTTAATGACATTCCCATACATATAGATTAATATATTTACATATATGTATATAAAATATGAAATATTAAATACCTATCACGATTATTTCTGTATGAAGGCGCAAACGATGCAGATAGACAATTGAAATCTGTTTCGAAGAGACAATTTTCCGCACATTCACGCCTCGTTACCAAGGTGGGTATTGTCTTCTTTCCCTGAAATATTAAACTGGTACCAGGAATTTTTGTCAAGGTCCACAAACGACTTTTGCATGTATCCGGCACTATAAAAAAATATAAATATTTATGTTGATTTTATATCTATATATAACCACAAAATATGAATATAAAAATTTTTTTTTTTGAAACCTTTAAGGCAAGTTTTTTCATAGAAAATTGCTTCTGCATCAGCCACTAGTGGTAAATCATTGTCGATTGCTTGATAATGTGAAGTTCTTTCAAAATACGAGTATCCATAACATTCGTCTGTATCCAGCAAATGTACATAGGCTATACAACTTTCATCCTTATTACAGATTCGCCAGCAAATTGAACTTACAGGTTCCTGAAAGTCTCTTTTGGATGAGTTATCTATATGTGCGTAACTAAACCTTGGTGAATATATCAGGTTTTCTTTATTTATAAATTCTAGTGGTGGACGGAAACCAACAATTTTTTGTAAATGCATTTGATAGAGAGGACATTGTAGAAACAAGGCAGCTGAAAGCAAAAGAACCAATATTGGGTTATTATTGACATTTTTTTTTTTAAATATAACTATATAAATAAAATGACACAATTAGTTAATTGTCACTGGGTCGAGAACTACTCTCCCCTTCTGACATTAGGAGATCCTCAACGACCGACATTCTGGCTTTCATTCGAAAGATTCTCATTGATCTCTCATTCGAAAAAGATCAAAAGATAAACGGAGCTGGTACCCCGTTTATTACTATTCCTAATTATAAGTTTACAGTGAAAATAGATATCTCGATTAATAACTATAATTCTGAAACACAGTCTCTGAAACACTTTTTGAACAGTTCGAGCAGTCTTTGAACCAATATATGTTACTTTTTATTAAAATTGAAAACAACAAATTGGAATCATTTTTAAATAAATCGGACCATTGATGTATTGCATTAAAAAATCGTAAACAGTGGGTATGGGCTATCACCGAACCAAATCTAACGTGTTCGCGGTTTGCTGCGTTGGTTTTTAATAACTAAAACTACGTATACCTATAGGAATTGCAACCAAAAATTTTAATATTTAAATTTTTTTTATAATTATATATTTTAAGATGTCACAAACCAGGGCACAAAATAGTAAAATCATAACGACGGTTAAAGTACAATAGGCTATATATATATAATATAGAGTGTATTTTGCCCGACACTATGTCACGACTTGAAAACATAGTTATCAGAAGCTGATGAGTATAGTTTTAAGTCACTTCTTACGAATTATTTTGGTTTAATATGAGAGAAAAAGAGATAATATAGTACCTATTTTATAGAGCAACAAAATCAAGAATATATGGGACAATGAAATCTGAATAAGTGGTTTTACCTGATGTTTAAAGGGCAATACCCAAGTTAATTTTTTTCCTCGGAATGTACTTAATAAACATAGCTTTTCTATTTATTGTTTTAAAAATACTTTTTACTTTTATTAGTATTGTAGTTCCAAGCTAGAAAGTCTAAGGTGTGGCGCCTGATGTGTAACATTGGAAATATTACTCGTATGCTTAATATCACTCATATCTGTTCACCCACCAGGTTTGAGTAACAAATAAGGTCAACTTTATGTAGTGCTACCAGTTTTTCAAAGAAAGAGTTAATTTCGTCTGGAGAGAGAGCCGGGATGTGACCTAATAAATTTTCTATAATCTCCGCAATGCTCTCATCCTAGCTACTTATACAAAAACCCCTACTGGGGGCACCAATGTTATCGTTGGTGTACTTATTAAACAATGCCCTGTAAATATGGATGTAAGCAGATTACTTGTTAAATTAAGCAGAATATTAGTTATGTCGTACTTGGGTAGTTCCTCAAACCTAGAGCTTGCCGAGATGGTAGTGTGACTTAGAACCCAGATTAAATAAATGTTGTTTGCTGCACTTACATAATTAAGAAATCAACGACAACACAATACTACTCTTGATCTTGTTCAAATTTTTGATTGTATTTATCGCAGCTTTCATATTCGGAAAAGTATTGATACCGGTATATAATATCAAATCATACTTTACTATTTTAGCTACGTCACGGATGAAAAACAATACGGTACTCTGCAGATTAGACCTAATATATATAGAGAATATACTATACATCTTCCGGATTTAGTTCCTAATTTTGAGAGGTCTATTTAGATCGATTTACTTCTATTTAGTGGTAGAGAATCCCATTGGAATATTAGAACAGAGATTAGAATTATGTCTGCATTACCAAAAGTTGTAGTTGGGGAGATTTAGAGACAATATTCGTTCGTATGTGGGTGTCTTCTTTCATAACTCTTACTATTTTAGCTACGTCACGGATGGCTCTTACTTGGGCATGAAAAATAATACGGTACTCTGCAGATTCGACCTAATTGACCATAATATACTATACATCTTCCGGATTTAGTTCCTAGTTTTAGGAGTTCCACTTAGATCGGTTTACTTCTATTTAGTGGTAGAGAGTCCCATTGGAATATTAGAACAAAGATAAAAATTATCTCTGCATTATCAAAAGTTGTAGTTGGGGAGATTTAGACAATATTCTTTTGTATGTGGGCCTTGACTTTTTGAAAATATCAATCGAAGAGCCATAAAAATTCGGTACACGTCTAGTGGTGTTACTTTGAAAGATTGAAAGGGATTTTTAAAAAGAGGTTTCTTCTATTGTATATGTTAGATCAACAACTTATTTGTTTTATATATACAATTAGTAATGATTAATTAGAAAATATCTTTAATTATTTATTAAAATTATAAATTTTCCGAATTTATTTTTTTTTAACTTATTTGATTATTAAAAACTTTCAGTCTGAAAATATTTTCTGTTATTATATATAAATATCTTAAAACAATAGTTTACATAGGTGCACGTTTTCAAATCGGAATAATTTAACAAGCAAACAATAATTTAACGATCTTCTCATATTAAATGTTTGCGTGATTTAATGATTATTCAATATAAACAATTTTCGTAATAATTCGAAAACATTAAAATAAACAATTATAAACAGTGGCGGTTGTTGAGGTCATTTGATTCTATGCAAAAGTATATATTTATTAATGAATAGATAATTCTATGGATATAACAAGTTGTTCTAAAAAGTGAATCCGCCACTTGTAGTTTCATCTTCATTTAGTTCATAGTGTTCTCAAAATGATTTCATTTAAGGGCCTTGTAATTTATTGCTTAATTATTAGGCACTTGCCAATAAATAATATTATGTACATACTAAATATCTAAGGTTTTGAATTTGTTTATGAACATGAGATAAGTAGTAAGTATCTACCTTAACAAAAATTGTTTAAAAAAAAAAATTAAATGGATATCTAAAACAAAAATATTTTTATTTATAAAATTTATTTATAAATTATTTTACTCATTTTTTTTATTTTTTAACTGTTTGTGTTATTATTTCGGTAAAGAGTAAAGAATATAGTTAAGATGTGTGTTAGAAAATAAAGTACTTACAGTAGTTCTAGCAAGTTAAGGATGTAGGATGTAGTATCTGATCATTGTAATCTACTTTTAAGACCTGTATATGTAAATGATATTTTCTTCTTCTTAATAAAATTTATTTTCTTAGTAAAAGTAATGGTACTTTGCAGTCTATCATAAAACTAATGTATTGCGAATGATTACTAACTTTTAATAATTTACAAAAAAATTAAATCATTATGTACTGACCTTAACATTTTCTTGAATTTTGTCATTATATGAGCAGACCCTTCCCCTAAGGGGAAGATATTACAATAACATTTAATGAACACACAACTGAAGTTAATTTTTTTCTTTAAAGTGCGTGTACATATTTTTTTAAATAAATTATAAATAATTATTATTTAATAAAATGACTTGCAATGGAGCAAAAAGTTGTAGTTACTTCAATTAATTTTTTTTCAATTTCATTAGTTTAATTTATTATTGCTGAATATCGTTTAGTGCTATTCTTATAAATTAAATACACTTCGGCATACATCGATGTAGTTAGGCAGAGACGTAGAGAGATATAATGCTTACTAAATAATCATTATTTTTAATTAAGCTTTATTAGTTTTTTGTAGTTTAACTTGTATTTAAAACTTTTTTAATGTATTCACTCCGAAGTATTAAAGTTTTACAATAAGGTGGATTAAAACGAACCACTCTCCATACTTGAGACGCAGAATAACTCTTTAATAGAAGGAACATATAAAAGCAGATATCCTAAACTTCTCCTTTCATATGATTATAAACCGAAGAGTTAGAATGTATGCAATCAATAAGATACCTGATGAAGAGCACAACTTAAAAATACTCAAATTTTTAAGTTATCTCTTTTAGTGGATCGTATTATAGATTATTTTTACCTTACTGATGGTGGGGAGAAAAGAAAATCAACCGAAGGTGATGAGTTTTTGTTCAATACTAATTTTATTTATAAAAATTTTTAATATATATACATTTTTGAATTTGCTTTTACATTGCTAATTTTTATCTTAATCTTAATACCTCAGATATCCACATGCTTATATATTCTCCTTTCGTATGATTATAAATCGAAGACATAGATGCAACCAATATGCAATCTATAAATTACCTTAGAAGCCTCAAAACAAATAAAAGTAAAGGAAAATGTTATTGTTAGAATCAGTAAAGTACTGAGAGTTTGAACGAATATTATAGAATACTATCAAGTAGGCTCAACACATTAGGATTAAATCAAGAATCTATGCCAAAGGAGTGGATAAAATAGGAGCAAGTATATGAAAAAGATGGTTATTGATTCATTTTAAAAGCCTCTACATAATAAAAACTATATACGATAAGGTATATATAACAATGACTGCTAAACATTTTTTTTAAAATATATTCGATATAAAGCAAAGTCCCAGTGCACATGAATATAAGACAAATAAACAGAATATAATAGTACCTTATAAATATTTTGAAATGTAAGATATATAATTTTATTTTAAATAATACTCACTGCAGTTCACGTTCAAGTATTGAATAATAAATAAAATAAAGATTATTTTTAAGTTTGGCCCGAATCGATGATGCGTTGCCATGTTTATTAATTAAGTGCATAGATTTACTACACAATTTTATTTTTATGACACAATTTCACAATTTTTGTTACTTCACTAATATTGTGATTGACCTAATAAGTTTTTAATTTAAAATTATATTTAATCAAGTTCGAAATATGTAGAAAATTGATATATTTCCGCTGCAACATTGCTGATTGGCGCACTTTAGTTTTTTACAGTCTTAGTTCATATATAAAACAAATATATATGATTATAAAAAAATAAATATTTCTAATATGTTAAATTTTTATAAAATTCATTTTGTATTTTTAATAACATTTAATGTAAATTATTTTGAATCTATTTCATTATTTATTTATTTCTTCATTATTTAATATATTTTAAGCATGTAAAAATCACAGTTTTGTTTTGACTATCTTTAAACAAAATTATGCAATTAAAATATTAAAATAAAATAAAATAAATTAAAAAATTTTTAAGAACATTTTGAAACAATTTAATAAAATATAAATTTTTTTTTAATTTTATATTAAATCTTTTAAAAACATATTGTTTCTACAATATAATAAAAAAATATTATAGTTATTATTAAATATATAATATTTTAATAAGTTTTTAAATTATTAATTTAATAATATTGATTATTAATTTTCACATTATTAATGGTTAATTATTTAAATTCATTTCTATTACACTAGTTTGATATCAACTGAATGAATCTGATTCTTTAACAAAATAAATTATTTAATTAAAGTTAAAAAATCAAAACTGTAACTAATATTTAATATCATTATTTACAATTTCTTCGATTAATTGAGTTTAAATTATTTTTTTATATTTTGTTTCTTTTTAAATTTGTAAGAATATTGTTTATAATTGAAGAATAATTGTTTATAATTATAAACCAAAACGATATAATAAAATATAATTTTTTGGAATGAGACATTAACACATCACTTAACACATTTAAAACATCATTTATAATTTGTTTATTTTTAAATTTTTAAATCACTTTAAGAATGCCTTTATAATTAACACGTAAAAAAATTATAGTTATTTACTTATTAAAAATTAATAAAGTTTATAAATTATAAAGTATAAATTAATTTATAAAAATCGGATTTTTAAAATTGTATTTAAAGATAAATTTAAAAAATTATGACTGATTTTTTATATTTGATGTTTTTTTAAATAAAATTTTATTTATTTTATTTTATTCATTTATATTTATACAGCAGGTAATTAAGCTGTAACTACAACACCGTCCAGACAACAGTAGAATAATATATTATATGTAATAATAATTAAAAAATTTATTTTTAGTTCTATTAAAAAACTATGATTTGTTTTTGTAATTTTTAACTACAATTTATTAAATTTCTATCTTTAAAAATTGTAGATGTAAATTTCATTCAGAATGAATGAATTTAAGAAAAATTTTTTAGAAAATTTAAAAAGTTTTGTATGTTTGGTTTTTATTTGAATTAAATTTTATTTATTTTATTTTATTTATACTTATTAATTTAATTTATTTATTTAATTGAATTTCTAACTTTAAAAATTATAGATGTGAATTTCATTAAGATTGAATTAATTTAAAAAAATTTATTTTAGAAAATTTTAAAAATTATTTTTGTTCTTCACTATTACTTAAATATTATAAGCAAATTTTTTTATTTTATTTTAATTTTAAGTAAAATTATAGTTCCATTTTATTTCTCTTTTAAAATGTTGTATATATAGTTTATTTAAAATAAATTAATTTATAAAAATTGTATGTTAGATAGTTATATTTCAAGATAAAATCATTTTGGGAACTGAAATCTAATTATATAAAATTTATAAATATATTAAATTTATTTATTAAATTAATAAATTTAAATTAAACTTATTTTTATGTTTTTTGTCACTTCAAGAATGTTGTTTATATAGACAAAAATATTTTAAAAAAATTCCATGTTAGAACTATATATTTCAGAAATTACTTTTTACATTAAAAATTAAAATATATTTTTAATATTACAAAATTTATTTAAATTTCACTGATATTTATTTTTAGTAATTTTAATCACATTAACACATATATTTTTTGTAAATATGTAAATAAAATATATTTTTTTCTTGCTGTAACATTACATATTTATTTAAACAATTAATTTCATAATATTAAATTTTAATATTTATTTTATATTATTTATTGTTTTTTGTCACTTCAAAAATGTTGGTTATACAGTTTATTCAAAAAAAAATAATAATAATAATATTATAAAATTTATTTAAATTTCACTAATCTTTGTTTTTATTAAATTTAATTACATTAATTTATATATTTTTTTAAATATGTAAATAAAATATATTTTTTTCTTGCTGTAACATTACATATTTATTTAAACAATTAATTTCATAATATTAAATTATAATATTTATTTTATATTATTTATTTTTTTTTTGTTACTTCAAAAATGTTGGTTATAACTGTATAAATACAGTTTATTCAGAAAAAAATAATTTATAAATGTAGCATGATGGAAATATGTATTTGAAAAATTATTTTTAGCATTGTTAAAAAATTAAAACATATTTTTATTATTATAAAATTTATTCAAATTTCACTAATCTTTGTTTTTATTAAATTTAATTACATAAATTTATATATTTTTTTCAAATATGTGAATAAAAAATATTTTTTTCTTGGTGTAACACTATATATTTATTTAAACAATTAACTGAATATTAATTTTAAAATTTTTTTATATATTTTTTTTTTATACTTTAATTCAAAAGAGGCCTATTCCATATTTTACATCACATTTAAAAGTGAAATTACACAACTATTTTTATGAAATATTAGCTTTTTTCTTGTCTTTAAAAATACGTTAAGTATTTATTTCCCACTATATTATTTATCAATTAAAACTTAATTTTTTTTTATTTTTAATTATTTTATATAATTTTTATTTGCAAAAATTGAAGTAGTTTCAAACGATCTGTTCCGCTAACGAAGTAAAACTGCACACTGAGACCGCGCGATACTCAGTAAATGCGATCGTTAAATTGATTCAAAATATTTTGTTTTGTTTTTTATTCATTGAATTTTATTGTTAACAATGTTAAATGAGCAAACCTTAACGTTAATGTTAATCCCTGAGTTTTAGACGAAAAACGAAAAGCTGAAAAAGTACAACAACAAAAAAAAAGGTAAGTAATAATTCACCTGCATGACTTACGCTAAGCGCGACGTATCTAAATTTGTATCTATGTGAGTGACTATCTCAATCTGTATCTCAAATGAAACGTATGTTTGTGCAAAATGTTGTTGTTGTGTTGTTGTTGTACAATTTTCACGCTGTCACTATGAAATACTATCTCTTCGCATCTCTGTGGGAATAATTCAAATTTCTTTCCTTCTGAGTAGAGCGATTGAGTAGAGCAGTCGAGCTGAAAAAATGTAAACATACGCAAATATATTTATTAAATATTAATAATTATACTTATTTAAATAGTTATAATTATTAGTTTCAATTGTTAATGAACAAATTGCAGTTTCAGTTAAAAAATAAATGCAACTTAATCAACTTATGGCGGAACACAAAACTGCACTTGCATGTCGCCACCACTGTTAACATTTTTACATTTTTACAATTTTACAATTTTACAATTTTATAATTTTTCTTATAGATACAATTATTATTAAATAATTGTGATAATAATTATGAATTGAAAAATTTTTTTTCTTCAATAATTACTGTTTTTGTCATTACGAACTTCATATTCAAAGCTACGCAACTCATTAGCTTTGACGTGTGTAATGAGAGTAACGAAAGTATCTTGTATCTTGTATCTGTCATGTGCATGGTTTGTTTATTTTTAATTTGGTAAGATGTTTGCATATTTGTGGCTAGAAACATAGACTGTTTGGAGCGTGCCTCGAGTAAGTAACAATGTGAGGTAGCATGTGGCATGCGGTAGCGACTTGTGTATTCAGTTGCGACTCTGTTCAATGATATTTTAACTAGTTCAGTGGTTTCCATTGTTGGCAATACATTCAATTGAAGCAATATGCATTAGCACATATATTGCTACTATGTCAATCGTTAATTATTTCTATCAGTTGTGGAACTTTAATTTTTTTTCATGTGACAAGTGCATATTTTGTTGTTAAGAGGAAGTTAGTTTTAGGAATGTACTTTAACAACTAATTAAATTATGCATGTTTACATGAAATGTTTTTATTTATCAGATGTATTCAATTTCAGCATCAATTGAGTTTGAATCTATTAGAAGTACATTTATTCATTCATCTTCGATGAAGTTATTGTCTGACGAGGAATTGCATAGCGTTTATTGTAGTTTCTAATGAGATGGCAAAAGCTATGAGAAAAATAATCTTGAGAAATAAATTATTAAATTAATATTTTTTATAAATATTGTGGGAAATATTTTTTGCTTACTTAAAACACTATATATGCTATATAATATAAATGTTTAATTAGTTAATAGATAGTTTGCCACATTAATATAGAAAGAATTTTATTTATTAATTATTTTAGAATAAAGTATTCATGTTGCTGTAAAGGTAGACTTTCTTTGTATGGTGACAAAGAAGCTTTATTAAAATTTAGAATAAAACCTGAAACTTGAGCATTGAAAGTTTATGCAGCCTTGGCTTCTTGTGGATAAACACGATTAGTCATCGCTTCTAATTTGACAGGCACGAGTTCTAAGCCTGGCACTTGCAGTCCAAACAAATTATATACGGACTATAAACTAATTAAATAAAATTCGATTATTTTCAAAGACCACTGATGAAGAGTACTTGGAAATACTCGAAACAGCGTTGTATGGTCAGCCAAACTTCAATAAAATTAAAATAAATTTTTGTGTTTGTCCTTTATTTCTTTCTTTGTTATTCAAAACCCCTCTTAATTATTTTATTTTAAAATTTTATTAAAATTTATATATATGCACATTATTTGTATATTAATATTACAACTATATTATTATAAAATAAATTTATTAAAGTTTAATTAGTTTTGCCGAAAAAGCTAAGCTTTCTTGTAATGAAAAAGAAGATATTTTTTTTTTAAATTTAGAAGGGTTCGAATAGCAAAGAAAACACAAAACTAAGAGGATAGCGTTAAATATCTTGGTATCACGGTGGACAAACGATTCACTTGGCTTAAATATGTTCAACTGAAAAGAATCTAAGAAGAGGAAGCTGATATATAACCAAATAATT